ATTTAGAGTATGTTGCCAGAAGTTTCAATAAGTTACCAGGTCAAATGGAATTGTCCTTATTCTACTAGTTGCACAAATCTTACTGACACCACAAAAGTTGTTTACAGTTTAACACAAAAATTTCCATCCAATGTAGGATATACTTTAAATCCTAGATCTGTAACTCCTAAGGATGTTTATCCTTAATAATCAGTGGTCTGTGGAGGTTTATCTAAAACTGAAGACATTTACTGTCTAACTGTTTCTCCAAACCCCAACATGTCGGTTTACATCAATACATCTATTGAAGTACACCTCCTCTTACTTCACCAGGCAGAGAAAAACATACCTATTATTCTGTAGGGAGTAGCTTTTCTCATCAAATCCACTACAGTAATCTCAAGCAGTTAAGTAGCCACCCACCAAACTATCAGTATACAAGTAAAATTGACAAAACAAAATGGTGTTTGTTTTTAGAGTCACTAAGTAACGTTTTAAATTATGCATCAATGATGTTTAAAAAAAATGGTAAAATTTTGCCACAGCAACAAGACAATAAGTAGTTATCAAAATAAATGCTGTTTATCTAAACTTGAGCTTTGACCTCACACGTTAATAAAGTCAGCTCCCTCCAACACTCACCTGTAGTCAAACAAATGGACATACCAGTGATAACATTAATTTGCCTATCTTACACAGAACTACTGTACAATTGGGATCAGATTTCCATAAGCAATTGTTGCTTCTGATTCACAGTAAGATGCAAAATTGAATCAGAATCTAAGATATTTTCAGGTAAAATAATAACAAATCTGATCCAATCGAAAATGTTGTTATCTGTCTCCAGAATCTCTTCTGCCCATTTTTTGATTTTTTTTGTAACTTTTTTAAAAGATTTTTTTACAAAACCAACATATTTTTGAAAAAGATTAAAAATAATTGTTTTACTCTCCAAAACTCCAAAATGCTGGTGTAGATCCTAAAATGCCATGAAGTTTTACTCCTGTTCATAAAATACCTCCTTAAATTTCAAACACATGAATGTATTAAACAAATGATGAAACAAAAGTCCTTTAAAAAACTTTCATCAACTATTTTGACAAAAAGGGATGCATCAAAATGAAATAGTCCCTATTCCCTATACCAGTAGCTATTAAACAGTGAAGAAAGGTTGTACTTTAGAAGTTACCTCCCTTGTATTGAAATCTTATACAAGTGAGGCAGCAATGCACCCATTTCATTGTGGTGCTTTATAATTCATATCTTAGCATAAAACATTATATATACCCAATAAAAGCATTTTCGGGGGAAAAATTCAGATATGAAAAATTTCTACTTTCCAAATATGATTTCATAAGGGAAAAAATTCACAAAATATTTCTCTAGTTAAAAAATGTTCATAAACCTTGGGCCACTGGTTCAGTTTTATTACTTACATGAAGTCCTTTATCATATTACCCTGCAAAGTCAATACCATTAAATCATTTACATTTGAATACAGTTTACGTGACACACCTGATCATGGATGGATCAAAATAAAAAAAATATCAACAAAATCTAAGAAAAATATCCCTATTTATCATACAATAAATTCTGCATAAATTCTATTTCAAAAAATTGTTTGTTAGGATGTCTGTTTTCAAAAATAAAATCCCCATCTCTATTCATTCATACTGGAGTTTTATTTACAAATTTATTATTATTTATTCACAATAACAGAAAATGGACTTGAGCCAATTATGAACTTAATTCCGTGATATCCCACCATTTAAGTATTTCAGCAGGTGTGATTACAATTTTTTAATCAGATTTAAATGCCCAAATTTTGGGTTGGGCTATTTCGAACATCTTGAAATTTCTTAATGCAATGAAGTTCAATGTGGACATCAAAATATTTTATTGCATAACCTCCGATTACAAATATCAAGTTCAATTGTCTTAATGAATAATTCAATAGACATATGCATAATTCATTAAATTCTTCAGTGTGTTGCTAAAAGCCATGTCAGCATACTATATCATTAAATAAAGAAAAATTTCAAAGAGTTTTACTATTGATTCTCAGAAATTTCCAAAAGTATCAATAAAACATTAGTATCGAACTTTCAAGGTTATTTTTTTTAATTTTTGTAATAATGCCTATCTCTATACCTGCAGTTACAAAAAATTCACACAATTTTATCCCCTCCTGGCCAATGTAATCACTTCATTTACATCAAACAATAGATCCTGAATCAGGGGGGTAACTGAACTGGTACGTCTCATATTCTCCATGTCTAATATTTCCATTGGATTTCTTTTTTATTTCTAAGTCTCATTACATTTATATATATTTCACACAACAAAATTTCATCATCATGTACACTTCTAACAGACATTTGTAAAAAACAAACCAACATTCAGAATTACATCATAAAAAAAAATATTATCTTTCAGACAGAAAGTATAAATACAGGTATATCCTGGTCTTTTGGCCTTTCAACAGGCAAGTCCTTTATAAAACACCCAAACCAAAGGTCTACCAATTCCTTCCCCTAGGGAGTTGGAGCTTCTTCCGCCTATCCAATTCCCATCAGCCCCTTTGAAGCCATTAGGTATTTGAGGGGAAATAACTCTTGAAGTTTGGGACTTTATAAAGAAACAAGGGGACTGAAGAGAAAAATTATATCTGTCAAAAGTTCTATGAAACAAAAATCTTCCTGAAACAAATGACAAGAGAGACAAAGGGATGATACATCATGTCAGCTGGAGACTTGTACAAAATGTGTCTAATGGCAGAAAACTTTGTTGAACTTTTACAACTTCTGCAGTTTAACTGAATTACCTTCCATTTGGGTTATACATCAAAAAGATGAATGCAAATAACAAAATGCCATATATTCATAAAAAAATTCAAAGTATATATATACACCAGTTGCCAAGCTATACCCGTTTTAAATATCAAAAGGTTTTATATAATATAGATACAACAAACTGATTAAGTCTGTACACTTTTATCCTTGTCAAGATCAGCGGAACTGTGAAATAACAAGTAGAATGACAGAGAAGATTCCCTCAACCAAAAGGGGTGAATGGAATGCAATAATCTTCACCTACATTTTTTCAATCTTTTTTCGCCCAATGCACTGCATGAATGGTTCTGATCCTATGTTATCTATTATATTGGACAACTTTCATTGAAAGCAATTTTTGTTATGGAAAGCTAATTCATTAAAATAGCAATTACAAAAGATAGGACATGTTACTTGATTTATGGGTACAAAGTTTCATTTACATTTGTATCTCAAATCTTCTGATGGATCTTTAAATGTCATGAAAATGTGACTAAACTCTATAATTCATCTCTTTGTTAAGAAACTATGTTTCATGAACAAAAATGAATATATTTTTAAAATTACTTCAAAAGTACAAAAACCACATCATTTGTACTACCCAAGTATCATCTGAACATGCTCAAATAAAAAAAAATTACTTGTTTATCGTTAATGGGTACATATATTATTCAATGGTGACTGAAACATATACTTAGCATTTAAATTCAAAATTTCAAATTCTAACCGACATTTCGACATGATTATTAAATTTTTATTCACAAATTACATCTAAGTGTCGATCCTTGTCAGATAACAATTTTACAATCAGCTACATTCTTCTTTGATATGCTGGTGTGTTGACTATAAAAACTTAGAAGGCCCATTAAGCTTTCGACTTTTCTCCCTATTTAAACACTTATGACAGCTTTATCGATTTCAAAAGCTAAGTATTTAGGCAACATTTTTTCATATCACTGTATTTGATACTGTAATTATATGTGCCAGGGTAGGTTTTCCGATTTTAACTGCTTTGAAATTAAAAATTCAAACTTAGATAACCATTGACTGAAACGATTCGATATAATTGTATGTATATTCATAATACATGTGCCTTTTTTCGAGACATAAATATGAATAACAAAAAGCACTCTTACAAGACCTAGAAATAAGACGCTATACACGTACCAAGTCCTAACCAATTTCTATTTTTGTATGAATATAAAAAAAATCTAATTTAAGAAATAACTTTTATGTACTGAGAAATCATTAATTTTTGTGGGAGATTATTTTCGTTGATTTTGTGAGTAATTTCAGGAATTCATAAGTCAATGAACTGACATAATTAGTTAAAGGACATTTATAGATCTATTGTTTTCCATAATATCAAATATTCACAAAATCGTGATTTTTTTAACCATAGAAATTGAGGAAGACGAAAAATATATAATTTTGCAGTAATGTTGACTGGGCTTAATGCTATATTCCTCTTCTAACATTTCCTCCCTGACAGGTACGTTAGTTTGTATGGGCTATTCCAGTGAAACAACTGCTTGAATCCATAACTCCATAATAACTTCTATATATGGTTCAGTTTTCTATCTATTTCTGCTGTACTTCTATGAAAATTATCAACTATATTCTACTGGTGGTACTATGAAACAAAACCTGGAGTCCCTGCATTGAAACAAAACCAGGAGTCCCCGCATTGAAACAGAAACAGGAGTCCCCGCATTGAAACAAAACCTGGAGTCCCCGCATTGAAACGAAACCTGGAGTCCCCGAATTGAAACAAAACCTGGAGTCCCCGCATTGAAACAAAACCTGGAGTCCCTGCATTGAAACAAAACCTGGAGCCCCCAACATTGAAACAAAACCTGTAGTCCCTGCATTAAAACAAAACCTTGAGTCTCCACTTTGGATTGACATTAACTGGAATATTCCTATGAAAAAGTAAGTCCTAAGACTAAGAGATGTAGTGGGTTCTAAAAATTTGAGTGAGTCCTACAGGAAAAACATGGGTCCAGGACACAAATATCCTACAGGAAAAACATGGGTCCAGGACACAAATAATCACGGACTTCTTCAGCTACGTCGACTCACCTGAGTGTAAATTGAACCTTCACATCTTCATATTGTACATGTTTACGACATAAGATAATTCTGTTCCACCTTGAAATGATATACAAAGAAATACAATGAAAGACTTACCGAGAGAGGGGACTCCCAGACTCCAAGCACCATACCATCTGGGGACCACTCCAACCCACTAAGGTCATCTGTATCTGTCTCAAAGTGCTGTAAACAGTGCACAATTGGTTTTTCAATGGCAGTTGGTTTGAAGAACATGCCAAAACTGTAATATTATATCAACCAATTCATGTTTATTTTTATAAAGTCAACATATATTATCTTGTATTATTTATAAAGAACAACCAATCTATATGTATGTTAGCTGGAGATTTCCTACTTTGATAAGGCCAAGCTTCAAATATGACTGACCTGACTGAGAAGAAAGAAAGATTAATGAGACAGAAATTCCACAAGATAAGTTGCAGACATTTTTTTAAAAAGAAAAATATAAATTCAGTTCTATGGATGGTAACCCTGAACAAAATCAGGAGTTCTGGGATGAGATAAAACATTTTACTAAAATTGCAGAAATCTAAATTTTAATGCTTTAAACAGAACCAGGATACCTTGACGAGTTCCCACATACTGCAAGTAAAAATACTGATGTAGTCTTTACAGTCACGTCTCTCCGCCAGGGCCATGTATTTCCCTCCGACACTGAAGTCCATCCCTACAACACACGCATATTTCATATTTTCCTGTGGGACACGGTAGGATTTTGGAAATAATATTCTGGACTCACTCAATACACTAAAAAGGCTTATTTCAATACATATTATTGGTAAACTATGGCTATGATAATTTATCATAAAGCTTGTAATGAAATTGACTTGAAATAAAACTCCAAATATTTCCTCCTGAAATTCCCCACTGGAATACTACTGAATACACCAAACTCCCTCTTATCCCTCAAGTCCAATGCAAACAGGACATGATTGGAATATTAATAAATACGCCAACAGTTCAGTAACCTTCCTTTATATCTGGATGACATGTGAAACAAATAAAGCAATAAAATCTAATGTCTTACAAACACTTTTTCTTTCCAAATTTGAGACAAAATATTGTAACACTTTCATTCTCGTTACATGTAAGTTTATTTATTACATCAGCACATGCATAAAATGATGATAAGTTCAATCTATACACTATAAATTATTTTGCCCTTTTCCAATTTCAAACTGACCATGTAATTCATGAGAAGATGAATAGCCCATACAGAATGAAATCTGAAAATATGAAATTAAACTTCCTCAGTGAAAGACTTTCCAGGATGTGAAAACCAAAACAGTCAGGATAAAAGAAAATTTATTTAATATTTCACTAAAGAAATTCTTCAGGTGTTGGATACAAGTAATATCTCAATTACCACCCACCATCATTTCTTTGAAAGTCACAAGGATATGATCTGACCTCTTAACAGTGATGTAAGTATTCCAAAAACTTTCATGAATATTTTCATTTTAAACATGTAAATTCTGTCTTAATAATTAGACTCATCAAAGCATGACTTTCATTTAATTGCTGATAAACTTCTGATAGATTCTTAGAATTTTTGTTAAAAGACTGATCTAGACAGCAGATATGGGATATCACATTAGAACATATTGTACCCACATACAAACATGATAAATATTCAATACCTGTCTTTCCATTTTAATGTTTAATAACTTTAAATTAATGTTTAGCAATTTCCCCAGTAAGATTGATTATAAGATAGATAGCTGTTCATATTAGCAATGACAATACCTTTAGCAATCTCATACTATAGAAATACAACACATTTCCAACCATTTAACCATATTCTATGTAGTAAAAGTGCCTTTTTTTTTAAATCACTACCCAAGCTCGGGGATTTTTAATTGCAACTTTTTGAAGTTGTTATTACTGAAAATGCATTTTGCTTATAAAGCAACCAACATTGTCTTAAGAAATAATAAACTTTGTCAATGATGATGGCTAGAAGTCATGAATGTTATACAGAAATCATACCACACCTCTGTGTCGAGATATTAATATGGAAATGTAACACAGTTTGAAGAAAGCATCTATACAAATATCCTATACTTATTATTTCCTGACAACCTGTTCCTTTATAATGTCTAAAACAGCATGGTCATTACAACTTAGGGTACATGTATACATACAACCATTGAAGGCCAAAAAGTTCTAAATTACAAACAGAAACTATTTTGAATTTGAAGTTAACTCAATTTTCAAACCCAAGTTATGCATTTGTCCTTGGAAGCATTCATATACTGCAGTATGGGTTAAGGTAATAGATGATTAAAGCTTTGAAAAAAATCTTTTAAAATATAAAAATGTCTCTTATCTTCAGTATAATATAATCTTTACACAAATTTTTCTGTCGCAAACATTTAACAAATATTTCTGTGACAATAACACAGATATGGCAGTGTATGTATACAAAGTTACAATTTCTGACATTTTGTTGGAAAGACAAAAATTCAGAATCATTGTTTACATTTTATGTGGGACAACAACATTTAAATCCTTACACACCCGACCCAGGTTAAGTCCTTACACCTGACCCTTCTATAGACCCATTAATCCTACAAATCGACACCCAATAAATACAGTATCTGGCAGGTGGGACATTCCATAAATGTTTACCTGATGAAATATCTGGGAACAAAACCATGAAAGGGTTACTGGAAACTCACTATACAAAATCCTTACAGAGACTAGAGCATGGAATTTCATCAGTTTCAAAAGGTCCATCAATACTTAAATTTTAATGTATATCATTCCCTATTTTTCAAAAACAAATCATAGATTTTATTAATATAAGAGATAAGGGGTAAGGGTTTTCATTTTTTCTTAATTTCTAGATTTCTTTTAAAATACATTTAAATAATGTTCACATACATGTAAATATAAAAAACATGTATAAGTTTACTCTCAATGCTTATATAAGGAAAAATATAGGTGGAATGAAGTACTCCCTAACCTGGTTGACCTTTGGTCAGTAACCAATTCTCCTTGACCTGTATGCCCTTTGGTCAGTGAACAGAGCTTACCTTTCTGACATTGCTTAGGGTAACGGATGTAGGAAACTGACTTGGTAACTAGAGACCACACGGTAATTCGTAACTGTAAAATGAAAAGTTATCTATTATAGATTTTCAAATGCAATATCATTTTCCTACATTGAGAAAGAATTCAGTAATGTTAGACATTTCAATTTTTTTAAAAATTACATTGAGTACTGAGTCCTCAGAATTCAGTGCTACATGTATCAGAGATTTTATCAATGCAGGCCTCCTTTTAGAAATAATGGGACCTGTTCTATCAACAGTGAATAGTTTTAGAGCATAAATGCATAACACAACAGTTTTAGAGCAAACGTACACCAGTAAATTGGGCACACAGTGGAAAACATTGCTGATTGACTAAAATTTCAAAGATTTGCAATGTCACACTTGTCCGAGTATGATATATTACCAAACAATAATACTGTTTTCATAGACTAGATTTGAAACAAGAGCTTCTTTATTCAGTATTGAGTATATGTATACAACAAAACTTGCTTTGAAAAATGTCTGTTTTTGTTCTTTTGAAATTCATCTAAACAAATTCCTGAATGCATAGACATTAAAATTATATGGTGTTTAATTTAATTTAATGTAAATTCAAAGTTGACAAGAAATCAAAAGTCCTATTATTAGTATCTGTTTTAATGTCTTTCCTAGATCAAATTAAAACAGCTGGTGTCACACTGCCCAACATTTAAATCAAAATGCTCAGTATTCCTACAGGCTATCTTACAGTACCCAAAACACCTATATTTCCAGGTACAGTAAACAACACAAGGAAAGGGATCAAATACAACTAAATGGAATTCAAACCCATAATTCAGATCCTGTTCCAGTAAAATTTGACCATCATTATCTCAAAATCTCAAAAGTCCTAAGCAAATAACTGTATACAGACTTTACACAGGATATCAGGCATATTTACCAAAATACCCAAACATCAACACTAACGTATCACGCTTCACAGGTCTAAGTGATCATGCCTCACATATAATTATGGTAACAGAGAAATGTCTGTCGATGATAGAGCCACTTAAATATACCCATATATACAGGATTAAAGGGACATCACCCATGGATGACTCCGGATAGAGAAGTTTTAGACAGACTATCCTGTGAAGTGATCTTTTACCTTACAAAGCTATTAACATCATAGCAGCACTGAGTCATTCACAAATTTTGTTTGGTTGTTATTTTGAATAAAGTCCATGATGTATAATTGATTGTTTCCTTTAAAAATATCATCCAGGTGAGGAATTTATTCTTAATGTTAGAATTTCAAACCCAGTAAAATGCTTTTTCCTGGGACAAGAATTTTGATTTCAATAAAAAATGTCCATTATATAATTTCAAAATCTACCATCCAAATATCAAATTAACTTTTTTAGACTTAAGTACAGTAAATTTTTTTATTAAAGATCAGAAAATGAAAGTTATAGAATATTAACACCTTGTATGACTGTTATCTCATACAAGGTATTCATCTTTGTTTCTCTCGAAGTTTCCAGCACTGAACACAAAGCGACACCAAGATTCTTTAAAACTTTCACAAAACATACACATTGTTCTATTATGTGAAACGCAATGATAGATCTACACTACAGTACTTGGGGAATGGCACATTGCTTTTCCTTTTAAAATACTTGTCGACTTTTGACATTCACTACCCAAGGTCTCATTTGTTTGTAATATCTACAAACTTCCTGCGGTAACACTACAACAGGCCACGATCAAATCCTTGACCATGACTACAGTAAAATGTCAACAGAGGTTTAACACGTTAGTCAACAATAATGGGATGTAGTCACTCAATTCTGGGTCCACTGTTTGACAAGTCCACCATAATTTAAAGTACATTGCCATTAACAAGCACGAATCCCTTTAAAACTGTACGATATTTACACACTCTGGAAATGAAAAATGAAAAGTTCATATCACACGATAAAATCATGTGTTTTAAAAATGTATAAAGTTCATATGGAGTTTGATGGCAGGTAATCATGGATTGACCTTGAGGGTTAATGTACAGTCAAGTCCCTGTCATTTTCACGACTAGGTTGATAAAAATAATTCAAATACACTGACTGAGTAAGTACCGTTAAAAAAAATAAAAAAGCATCATTCTAAAGTCAAATTTTCCAGCTGGCTTCGTCTGCAGTCTGCCAGTTACACATGCACTGCTAAATACAGAGTATTACAAATTTAGACCAAAATTATCTTTAAAAATGTTTTTAAAGTAACTTGTGCAAGAAACCATAAATATCACTTAGCATTCAAAGTTTTTTTCAAAGTACATCAAATAGCATTGAAATTAAGGTAATATATCAAAATGCAGTAAGTCTGGGGGTTCAGCACATCAAGGTTGGGCTTATTACTGGATGACTGAACAATATCTGTTCTATATAAAACATGGGTGAGCTTATTACCAGACATGGGCTTATTATTGAATCAAACTGGGTCTAATCAAAGTAAATTTGAGCTTCTGAGCACAAACTCTACATGAACTGATATAAGATCTTTATCCCTGTTCCTGGTACAGTCCAACTCATTTTCTTTCAAATAATTCCTGGAATTCTGGTTAAATGTATGTTGAAGGAAATTATTCCAAAGCAAGGTAAATAATTTTAATGTCAATATGTTTGTTAACAAGAAGGTAAGACAATCTATTCTTAGTCCTTGTCACATAACAGTGAAATTTTAAATCAACTAACTTTTCCTTACATTTAAGACAAGTTCCATTATCTATTCTTAATATATTTCAAAATACGACCAATTCAATTATATATCAAACTGTATGTGAGAAGTCATCAAATTTTCTGACATCCTGTTGCGAAGTTGGGTATGACAGCTATGTCACAATAATGTTTTAAGTGGATGTTGTGTTACAGCTTGCATACAAGAGATGATTGTCGTAGTTGTTGCTGTCGTCAGAATCATCATCGTAACAACCATCATCAAAGTTCCATGTTGTATTTTGCTATTGTAACCAACATGCTACCTACTTACACATATATCCAAGTTCATGATACATGCAAGAACCAATGTATTTCAGTTCATTCTCTGTGGCTCGTGTTACACAGAAACCATAATTTTTCATTTTGTAGCATTCACACTAAATTTTCTCTACAATTTACCAGAAATACAGGAAATTAACAGTGCATGTACGCATTTGCTGTGTTGACCATTTGGTGTAATCAGAATAGTAGATTTTAACCTCATGTTATATCCAAAACAACGATTTGCCCACTTACAAACAATAACCTATGAAGACTTTACTAAAATTGCATTGATAGACAAGGTGGGAATTGAAGGTCATTGATATTACAGCGCTAAGATTTTATAAAGATGGAATTTGCAAGTAGGTGTAACTACATCAAACCAAATCCATCACGGAAGTGTTAACCTAGATTTATGACCATCACTTAGAATCAGCCTTTCTCAGACAACAGCTAGCATTTCATCTCTATCGTACACGTTTACAATAAAAATTAGACTTTTTTATCTGTGTAGCTGACAGGTAGAATCAGTTTGAATTAAAACGATCATCACAGAAAAGGACTTAACTGTTTATTTATGTTAGATTAAATGTGTGTAACAAACAAACATTCATCTGACCGGTCAAACAGTATGGTCAAATAGTGGTCAAGCTGGTCATATTGTTCAGTTAGGTTCACAATAGACTCATTTATTTGTGTGAGATAAGGGTTTAGACTGACAAGAGATACAGGCTAACACCTTAAGTCAATAGACTGTGGCAATTTTATGTGGTGTGTTATATAACTTTCCACAGACAAAACCATCATCACACAATACTCCAAACACTGATAGCATCTCATGAAAAAATGTTTTGGTTAAATCAACTTGAACTGGCTAAAATTGTGTGATACTGCTAAAAATAGATAAAAATCTTAAATTGTTTGATAAAGGTCATTTACAAGTTAGATATGCCAGGTCACAATATATGATAGAAATGGTATTAAATTGGAACATTTTTCTTATTTCCTTTGAATTCACATAAAAACTTGAGATTAAAATGTGGATCTATGGTTCTATAGAACTGGCCACGTGGTTCTCAGGCTGTAAATGTCTCTGACATAGATAAGTATTAAGATCAGTCAGGAGATTTCTCCTTGGAGCCAAAGAAACCCGTTTATGAACACATTCCTCCTTGTCATTCAGATTCTAACAAATGGTGTGTCACAATACTTTTCTGGGAAATAAAATAACACTACATCAATTATCTCTAATCCCAATTACATATATGTGACAATACTTTACAGGGAAACAAAGTTATGCTACTTTGTCTTCAGTTCTCTAGATATACAGAAAAATTGATGAAAAATGATATTGTCATTTCTTAATCAAATTAGTTACTATCCAATCAAATCACTTTTATTAATCATATTTCTCAAGAATTGAAGAAAATGAAAGCATGTGAAGCATGGTGGTAATATCATATCATATTATACCAAACTTTCATTATTACATTTGTCTCTAGACCTTTCTGTAATAAAAGGAATAGAATGCATACTTTCGCTTTACGTATGTATATGTATGCTTAATGTAATAGTCCTACAGTAAATAATATAATTAAGATCAAATCTTACATACAAGAATCAAATTTGACTTTCCTGACTATTTTGAAGTTAAATGAAATGAAAACCTACGTTGAAATCTGCTGTGGTCAGTATATGACGACCGTCGGGACTCCATCTGACATCACAAAGCCCAGCTGACCCTTCATCCACCTTACAATTCCACTCCGGCTGTTCTAGTGACCAAACCTTTAAGTGGATGATTACAGAAATTCATTATATTCAAATTCTAATAGAAAAAATCTGAAATGAGTAAAAAGATTGAAATTTTAAAACCTGAAGCAAGGGGTGATGACATCAATCATTTCTAATGATCATATGCTGCATGACACTTCCAAGTATAATCAAGTTTTGCTGGAAGCAATCTAAATTTTAATATGCAATTGTCATTCATTGTTTTAAAATTTCTAATTTAAACTTTAAAATTTGTTTCAAATGTGATCATGAATAGCACATACATGTACAAACAACAAATCTTAAGTAGAAAACAGTCCATTTCAAAATTATAAGCAAATATGCAAAATTGACAGGAATAAATATTCTTCCTTCAAAATCAGACTTTTTATTCAATCACACTTAAACAAATGAAGATGTTAGAAAAACCAAGTTCCATACATGTCTATTAAGTGTTTCAAAAAATTTGATATCACTTAGATATTGTATAAATATGTTTTGAACAGAAGTTTTTATCTGGTCACCTGTGCTACTTAAGTCTAATTAATGCTGAACAAATTAAAATTATAAATTTATGTTTTGATCAAAAACTTCTATATTGACTTGTTGTTTTGTCAAAATTGGAAAATTCATTGTATTTCTAAAACATCAATCCAGTAATTTTTATTAAGTATGCGAGTACTTATCCAGATCAACATTAATATCTCATTTTTACTGTTTAATTTTTACACCTTTTCTTCCAAAAGAGAGACTCCTAATTGCTGGACTGGTACAAAGCATTAAATTCCAATTACACAATACAAGAATTAATTTTTCTACCTTTCATGAAAGGCAAAGCTAATCTCCTTATCTCTCTCTATCCCTAATATCTCATCTTTTGTCAATTTGTTCTGCATTGAAATATCAGGTGAGCATTGTCACCTGTCAGCAGGTGACATGTAAACCACAGGTAAGTTTACCTGTGATTATAATAGGGAACAAGGTTGTCCCTAATCAGGGGTACAAGATGGGTGACCGGTGTTAACCAACATCAAAGTAAATATAGGTAGTCCTGCTTAACAGGGGGTCATTAGTCTGTATGCTACCTACCTGGGCAGTTTAAACCAGGTAAGACAAAATGATAGGATGATTAGGTCTAGAACCTGAGCAGATTTCCAGGTAATCAGGTGTGTTTGACTTAGGTGATCAAGAAAAGTAACACAAATGAAATGTTTGTAATCTGTTAAAGATTATATCTTTGGTAGTACAATGATGATTGGCAGTAGGGGACAGGGGAAAATATAGATACATCAAACACAGAGCAAGAGACAGGGGGCCTACATCAAACAGTTATGTACCTGCTGTGACAGAAATTGGTGGTCACACTTAATTACGCAGAAGATTGTATCAGTAGATGACAAGAACAAGTGGACAACTAATTTACAGGAATCATATTTACAAAAAAAATCAACATGTTTTCAGATATAAAAAATATTTATAATTACAAAATATTTAACATGAAATGTTTTACAAAATGAGTGGGTAAATAGTTGTGAATGAAGACCAAATATGTCGCTTTAGCCAGATTTATATCACATATGGCTTATACCAAATATCATTATTATTATTATGATTATTAAATTTCTAATTAAACTTTTTCGTTAAACAAGGAAATTTTTTTTAATAATCCCCAAAATTTGCTTTTCCTATTCCCAAAGGCAAAAGGTTCTCATCTTGACACACTGAATTTTTTAATAAAAGATCCTGACAGCATCAACTGGGGCGATGGCTGAAGAAACATCATGACAATATATTACAGCTACTTGTGTTGTGAAACCTACCTGTACAATTCCCCTCTTGTACAACCCACAAAGGATGAACTGCGAGTCTGCTGACCACTGGTGGAAGAGAGACAAAAATGGTTTCATCACACACAACAGATAAAAGAAAATACTTTTACCTCTAAAGATGAAATGAATATCTTTTCCAAAATAAAAGCTACAACTTCTTTTCTGTTACTTTTGTAATAATTTTTGTGTGGACAAAGTCTTTTGATTTAAGTAATATCTGACCTCAATAAACTAAAATGTTCATTACCTCAATGACCTGTATAGTGTCCAAACAGCTGAACAGGTTCTGTATCTGGAATGTGTCCACATCTCGTACAATCAATCTAAATTCTGTTACAGATGCCTGAAACAGAACACATCAATTGTTAGATACAAGTAAGATACAATTATATAGCATATAAAATATAAAAAATATAAATATATTCAAGATTTGTCTTATATAACTATTTCCATCTTATTGGACACATTAAATTTCCAATCTTTTTGAAACCTTTGTCTTAAATATGTAATATGTGGTACTGGTTCATATTTTAGTTTATAAGCATTACTTCTGAGATAGATTTTCTTGATTTTCATGTTAAAAAGTTTACACAAAGCCCTGCAATGAAACCTGAAACTAGTTACCGATAAAATCAAAGTCAACTTCTGATACTTTCATGTTTTATTATAATGCTGATGATGCAACAAGTCTGAACAGCAGAAGAAATTAAACTGTATAATATGCAGATATGTGTTTCATTATGAATTCTTAAAAAGCTTAAGAAAAGTCTGAAATTAAGCCAACAGATTTTTCGACATTTTTTTTTATTCTTATTTTTCATCTGAATACAGCTATAGTTAAGATTGTGCATCATGCGTGAAATTTTTCAATTGCCCTTATCGTTCAAAAATTGATAATGGATTTTCAACATCATACAAAAGAGATAGAATCCCCATGAATTATATTAATTTTTTGAAAGAGATTATCAGAGATCACCAGTGTGCTACTTCACTGTTAAAAACGACTACGTAGCATGTGATCCGATAACCCGCAGGTATTTTCAAATTTCAAAATTCAAATTACCCACAATTGCAACCTGTTGTACGTGGAGAGTACAGATAACCAGGATAGGTTTATGCTAATAGCTGACAGTAGACTACCAAACATTTTTTTAAAACTCCTACATGACTGCAAAAAATGCTCCGGAAGTTCGATGGCTGAAAGTTGATCTTAACATCATTCATAGAATTGACTTTTGATTCCCTCCCAGTTTGTTTTACATTTCTTTCAACTGTATCGATAATTAATGAATATTCAAAAGTATCATATTTTATGGAAATCTACAAAAATTTTGTTTTGTAAAGTTCTTTGTAAACGAATATCTTCAAATTATTTTACACAGTTTAATTTAGATTGTTTTTCATTATTCACGCAGATGAAGTAAATCTCTATGGTCCTTTTTTTCTGTTTTTTTTTTTTTTTTAAATCAAATTCTTTCAGTACACCTTTGTGTCTGGTATAAATGTTGACAATTTTGTGTTTTAAAATATTTCACCTCCATACATTGCCAACATCAGCTTGATCTAGCTGGTTGTACAAGGCCATATGATATGTGTTATCATTATGTGTGGAAAACAAAACAAGGGACATTATTTCCAAGTGACATCTTATTAATCCCTGAATATTTCTTTTCCAATTTGTAGAATAAATTAAAATGTTATTAATCCAATTACACTAATTAACTAATAAGTGTCATATATTTTAATTCAATTAGATGAATAAATGATGTGAAAGATTAACCAATGGCATTAATCTTCTCTCCTTACAGTGATTATAAATTATACTGACTGCAAGTAAAAAATAAGTGTTTGGCATGAACTTTCTGACAGCACACAAAAATATTTGGATTTCCTATTCATTATTAAAAAACACAAACCATCATTAATCTCCAACTGCCACTGATTTCAATATAATTGATGACATTTCTTCTAAAAGCAAAATATTCAAAGAGTAACACTTTAATTTATGTCTAGTTAATGGTCTACTTTCAAAAATAAACAATTTACTGTATATGTCTTTCATATTCAACCCTTTCTCTTCTAGTAATAAGCTTAAAAATGTATGAATTTTCAACCTTTGTAAACCTATGCATTGTAAATGTTGCAGTGAAGTGAGTACTACAAATTTAATCTACTTACTATAGATTTACCTGGTTTAGTTTGACAGGTGTTAGGTGGTGTAAACAGTTACTATTATAAACTCTTACATCATAAGCCCTGCATGTTTTCAGAGCACTAATGTATTTATTAAAATATTATCATTATTTTTCTATGTCCCCTCCAAAAAAAACCTACCAATTTGAGGTTTAGAACAACATGTACCTAAAAAGGTGTTTTTCTAAAGTTTGACATTAACTTCCTTACTTTGTGATACAATAACATAACACAGCCACTTTTCCTCAAACTTATACAAAACAACACACATGGCTCTGTTGTTGTTTTTGAGAAATACTTAGGTTCTTTCTAATAGTGGTTCTATTTATCTATGATATTAATGGGAAGGGCTATCTTTTCTTCACACATGCTAATAAAACTTTTTGAAAACACAAAATACAATAATATTTATATTCAGCTACACACTGCTGATGTAATGTAGAGTGTTTTCACACCAATATGTTGCTTTTATCATACTACATCAATATTTGCTTATTGGATAAGACAAACAAGGCACATTTTCCCCTAAAAAAAAAAAAGATGAAATGCTTCAAGATGTATTAGAGTTTGTGGTGTGGTACACTGAGTATAACTGTAACAAGGGAGACCAATCTTTTAAACATGAACACGAATATGATTTTTCTACATTAAACTTTTTCTATTTTGGGGTATGATTTACACAAAGCTTAATTAAAAAGAACAAGATGCAAACCTTTAAAAATTGTGAGCTTCTAATAGTGCTCTCAATGGTCATGTGTATGTAATTACAATTCCAAAGTTTATGTAAACTCAATATTAAGTAAAATAAATACTGCAAAATACCTTAGATTTATGAAGTAAACATCAATTCCATTTTGTTGTTGAATATTAAAAGAATGTGTCTTGTCCAAAATTCAAGATAATTTCAAAGATAATCAAATCCCCCCCACACCTTGTTTTTATTCAAAACCCAACACGTTATACATCATCTAATAATACATGCAGATGATATTGCATGTTATTAAATAAAAATATACCTATATCCATGTAATATTTTTGCATATGAGATGGACTCATTATGACACGATGCAGTTACATGGAAAATACAGATAAAGTATCAAAATTACTAAGTATAACATGGAAAGGCATCTTTTCTGCAGTCTTTTTAGAATCTTGATTATTCAAACAATACTTATATCTGTTTCCATTTCACATAATTATCTCATATTGAGGAAATGGAAACAGCATACCATTTAAGTTGCTGATTCTCCTATATACAAAACACAAGAAACTGTTGGTCTGCAAATATATTATCCTATATTATTGTTTCAAGTTTCTCGCTGTGTAAACCTCTAACACTGTTGGGGAAACTTGCTGGATGCTGAATATGCTAGCCTACTTCACATCAACTTGAATATGAGATGAATATAATCCGATGTAAGAAAGATGTTGTGGGGTTTTGGAGTTCTAGAGATCTAAAATTTCTATAATAATAATTCAATGTAAATATTCATATTATGCTGTTATGAATATTTACATCTCTTTTTTTTTCTCTCTCTCATTAAAGAGACTCTAAAATGAGCATAATAGCCCTAAATGTGAATATTTATATCAGAATAATAAATGTGAATCTTGTTGTAGTCAGGTGTATTCTAGCAGACATGCTTACACATAGTTAAATATATGTTGGATACACTGTTAATGTCTTCTCTATTGGGTATGTCGTATTTACAAAAAAAATAGCATGACAAGACGGGGTGTCACACTATATCTTTACCAAAACTGCTTACTCTCGTACCGGCATAACGTTAGTCGAAGTCTTACCAAATATTTCCCATCGGGTGAAAACTTGCAGAGTTGATTGGTTTGTCGGAACAGCTCAGAAAAATTCATCTTCTCCTAACTCAGCTAACATGTATACTAAATCGAGAATTGTACAGGCGAACAGACTAAACAACCAGTAAAGACACAATATACATTTTAAATGTCAAATAGCAAGTGTCAACATGCGGATACCGCCATTTTGAATTCAGCGCCAAAATAATTGCCGCATGCCTGTAATTTATTGCTAAATATCCATTTTTAAAATGCTTAAAACTTCAAATCCTGATAAAATTCATCTGTCAAACAAACGTCAAACTGATGTTTGCTTCGAAAATCTGCCAGGCGTGTCGTAAACAATAGGTTGTTTGCAATGTTTTCATAAGTGAACCACTAGGCCACAAATCCTAGTAGGGTGCCCCTTTCATCGCCCCGGTCGCTCGCTGATTGGTCAGTTAATCAAACAAGCATCAGACCAGCTTATAAAGCACTTCCTATGGCCGGCAAGAGTTATCAGTCACCACTTTCATCATCGTTTCGGATATAGCACTACTGGTAATGCTTTAGACTTTTTTTATTAACAGTTTATCTTATTTTTTTCAACTAACATCAGCAGCGAAGAAATATGTTGTGACGTGTTTTCCCGCGAATAGTGCTCTCCGCCATTGATATTTTGTACCACGTGGTATGCAATGGAGTCCCATTGAAGTTTAGAGGTAGTTTCGTGGGATGTTATAGAAGCTCGGTTTCTTATGTGTTTGTGGGCCAACAAATTTCATGCTTCTTCAACGAAGTAACACCGCATCTCATCATCATCGTAAGTAACTATCTATTGTTTGTTTGTCGTGTCCAAACGAGTGATTACTTACTAGAAACGTTACAACTTCAGCCGGGACACGCATGGTAAATCTGAAATATGTCAATGGCGGATATGTATTTCAGAATATAGATGTCGGTCGTTCATTGTTTACGAGTTCCATGCTTATGTTCAGTTATGTTTTTGTAGACTTTTAACATATTGGTTATTGTGAGAAGGAATATATTTTATGAGTAAGTTTATGTTGTCCAAACAAGTTAATTGAGTGGTTCATTTTATTCAGTAAAAATGTAAACAAAGAGAGGATATGAATATTTTACATAGAATACTTATCATTTCCTATTTATTCCTAACTGTATCATGCATGCATCTTGGTATCTTAATTTTGTCGCTTTCTCCTCATCAAGTTCTCAGTTTTTTTTTTGCTAAATTAAGTCATCCTCTGATGCAAATTGCATCATGTTTATTTTCGCAACTTCTCTTTTATTTGTGAGGGGAGTAATTTCCATAGAAATTAGCCAAAGAGATATAAAATTGATTAGTCTCGCTACAACATTCTGAATTATTGAAATATTGCATTTATAGTTATTAGATGAAATATCTGGAGGTCAAGTTGATGATGAAAAATTATTACCAGGAAAAATAACTTAAAAATAAAATACTGACATTAAAGCTGTTCTTTTTTGTAGAAAATATGCACCATTGAATAACATTGATTTTTGAACAGTTTTCCTGGTAATATTATATTTTCATTCACAGACTTATAAGTACGATAGGATTTTTTTATATCTTTTATTTTGAATGATTACTGTATTGACATCTTAATTTTTCCCTTAGTTCCTTAGTTGTACCCATTGACTGGCTTTGTGGAAAAATTAGGGATTGCCTTTAAAATGCTGTAATAATTTGACACAAGAGCCGTTTTGTAAATTTCAATACCTGTTGGATATTTTTAAGCTTGTTTCTATGCCTATGTGTTAAGTAGAAACTAAAGTCACTCATGTGTGACATGGCAGTCATTGGTAGCTTAGCTAGGTCAGGTTTCTTAAGAAATTCTGACTATCAACAATGACATCACCGGGGCAACGCGGTATATACACTATACACAAAGAAAATTGAATTTAACAATTCTATATTGAAAGTATTGAAAGTTGGAAATTCAGAATATCAACAGAGACGTTACAATACAAATGTTTATGTTCAAGTTTTAAATCTTCACTGGGGAGATTTTCCAAAGAATGTCACAATGCAGAAGATAAAGGTGTTAGAATTCTTTGATTTCTAACTTGTTAAACTAAAGCTGGTTTTGAACAACAAATGACAGCAGATAGTTAAATATATGCATTTCTTTTTCAGATTCAGTAAATTCATTCATCGTCACCCTGTCATGTCCCAGCTGTCTACTGCTAGTACAACAACTACTAACGGTACACCATCTGGCCCACCAATGTCTCAAGAAACATTTGAATACCTGTGGAATACACTAGGAGAAGTCACTGAAAATGGGTAAGTTATTCCTTTCTGTGAAAGCCTTCCTGAAAGTTGTATTTCTCACTTGTTTTATAATATTTTTTTCACAAATAAAGATATTAAAATTTGCAAAAAAGAATCATTCTTCAAGTAAATGGTCATTTACGAAAAACCGGTTTTAATGAAAATTGGAAAATGTAGAAAATAGTACATATTAAAATACATGGTATTATAAAGTACACAAAATATATGATATGGTGTTTGATTTTTTTTCAGAGGATACACTCAGATATCGAGTAGGGATTTAGATTACGAGTATGGTGAACCGTCAGGGGAAGAGACAAGTCTGCAAATCGAGAGATTCCAAATCAGAGGCCAAAATGATTCCATATCTGATCTGGTAAGTTTTTCTTTTATATCCTTTCTTACTAACTAATAATATTATATCGTCATTAATTAACAATTAATAATTAGCTGTTGTATTTCTTTATTGCTACATAAAGCATATTTCCTCGTAGTTTATAGGTAAAAATTGACTCATTGACATCCATTCAAAATTGTTTGTAAAAATTTGATGAAGTGTGAAAGACTTTAGTGATTTTACAGTGTATTATTCACAAACAGGCTACCACTCAATGTCTGTGTTGACCTGATAATCAACACACCTCTGTCTCAGACTTGTTTACCACAGTTTGGTGTATGTGTGTGGTGCCTTCAGATCACGAGTAACCCCTTTAAAATTGTTCACCTGTGGTGACACCACATATGCCCATTTAAGGCTTTGTTCTGGGTGTGTCACTTGGACAGAGGAATCATAAATTTAGATTGAGGGATACAACCACTAAAGTTCTGGTGTTTGATTATCGTTATACATACAGGCCAGGTAGAAAAGGAAAACAAACATCAGTCTGACCTGGTCTTAGTGTGTAGTACACACACTGCCTAGACTATAGCTACAACACCATGTGGTTGAGCTAAAAATAAACACAGGTAGCGTCTCTCCTGGTTGTCATGACAACCCGGTGAAGCTTTAGTCATTGAAAGCCACTGACAGTTAGCAGGTTTTCCCAAGGCCAGAAGGCATACAGATATAGATTTTCCCAGCCTCTGTAGCTGCATAGATTATTGGGCTAGGCTTTCCCCTTTGTGTCCTGTGTAGCCTCGTAACAGATGACATTAACATAATAAATTCTCAGTGAAGCCAGTGGTGTACGTACATTGTAGCCCCTGATCTGGTACTTACCTACAGGTACATGTCAGAACAGGTAGATTGTTATATTGTACCAGAGCAAGACTGGACATGCCATATATATACATGTAGATATTTGAGTTACTAAAAAGCAGATATTTAGTGTTGAAATGCATCAGTGAGAACGTTGGATTGAACAGTTATATGTGATATATTTATGTTAGAACATTTTCTTGAACACTCCGTCCAAAATGATTAAGTTTGAAAGAACTGGATTCACTACATACAGGGTAAGTGGTTTGGTGTCAGGTTTACTAGTATATTCACAAACCTCATGTTGTTTTTAGCGGTGTGTTTGATAACTGTTTTTTTTTTTTTGACAACTTTTTTTAATGTGACGATGTGGTGAAAAAGTGGGGGGGGGTTAGTTTATAAATGTAATATTTTTGAAAGTATTACTTCTAAATTTGTATTCTTTTAAATTCATTTTCGAAAGAATAAGGAGAAATTTGTTTCAGGTATTACAATATATATTGTATGTTAAATTTTGTATTTCGTGTACATCATGTTTTAGAATAATTTGTCAATTAATTTACTTTAATTATGAATTTATTACTTCTCTACCAAATGTAAAAACTACTTACTGAATTATTATTTTATTGTGGGGTTCATTATCAATGAAATAATTATGTATAAAGGTCAACCTAGGTGTGTATGCTAATTATATCTTGACTACCAGATGGAGCCTGTTGCTGGTGAGATCTGCTAAAAATACCTTCATAGATCAATACTTATTATTGATAGTTAATCATAGCACAATTTAATGATAAGGAAAGGGTATAATTTCTTTGTGAGGCAAAAACAAATTTCACAGAAACTGGAATTGGTATTCGAATGTCTTAAATTATTATCATTATGATTTCAATATTGATTTTATGGAGTGAATTTGATTATGTTTGAAATAAAGGTATGGTGTTCAAAATTATTTAAATTTATAAAACTGAGTAGTACCTTGTTTCACAGTAGTTGGTACATAATATTAATAGCCATGAAATGATAAGTTTTTAGTTAGGGTGGGAGTGTTTTTATGTATTTCAGGGTTAACATTGAAGTAGTGGATAGACTTGTACACGAAATGTCATGTGTTCTTATCTGTAATATTATTCATAGACACAAGTAGACCTGTCGTGATTACTTCATGCCTATCTACAGGTCCTATATCTACCAAGTTGACCTATAATATTGATTTATCATCTCACAATACTTATCTTGTTTAACTGCTGTGATGCATACATAGCCTTCAAACTGATTATATACACACCAAACAGTGTTAACAAGACCTACATATTCAGGAATATTTGCTTTTAATTCTTTCATCATGAATATTCAAATAATAAAATTATAAATATGACATTTCAGTACCATTTTTATTTTCTTTATGACTTCAAAAATTTTAAACGTTACTTACAATGAAAAATTCTGTACAAGGTTTCTGTGCATAAGCAAGGAAAATAGTCACTGAGCTTAATGATGTATTGTCAGTATTTTAGATGTATTTTCAGGAAATTTCTATTGTAAATTTTGACTTTTTTTTTTTTTTTTTTAATTTTGTAAAAGGAAAAAATAGTTCTGTTGCAGGCATATATTTCTATATCCCTTTTCCTTGTTACAGCTTAACCCTATCATTGCCAACACAACATCGGCCAGTTCTATGAGCCCAGACTCCCAAACAAACATCATCGGCAGCTCTGCATCCAGCCCATACAATGATGTAAGTACATGTTTCTCACAAAGTAGTAGAATGATGCATGTAATGACTTAAAATAGCTCTGCTTTCACTTTTTGTGTACATATTAGGTATTCATTAGTTTATTAATTAGCACAATGTTGTGTACAATATTTGATTAAAACTCTTTTCATAGGAAAAAAGTCAGAAATAAAATCATTATGACTGAATATTTTTTCAATGACTGTTCTCTAACGTTGACAATTTGTCGGCACTTGCAATGTGGTAAGTGGAGTTGTCAGAGAAAGAATGTTTTGTTAGTCTAGAACTTACAGACACTTTATCAAATTTAGTTGTTTTTGTACTCACAGTTTGATGTTGTTGTAAATGTGATTTCAGACCATCACCTCCCCGCCCCCATATTCACCTCACACGGGAATGCAGTCCCCCATACCATCAGTTCCATCAAAGTAAGTCACATGTTCTTGTTCTCTCACTTGTACATTTCAGGATTGTAATTCCATTTTATTTAGCTGTTTTGGAAGAGAAGTGTTCATTTGTGGTGTAAAAATTAAGAAAGAAGAAATATTTTTAAAAATATTGAAAATTTCTATATTTTCTTTTTACAATGAGTTTATTATTGTAGTAAATTGACATAATGATGATAAAAATGTAGGTGTCTATTGTTTGTAACGACTTGTTAAGGATAGGCAAAATGTATGTAATGTTATTGTGTGGTAAATTTGATATACCATTTTATTGAAATGAGTAGTCATAACACGAGACACTATTGAGGTATCGGTCCAAATTAGATTGTAACACAGTGGTGCATTTGATAGCCTTGGGGTGCTCTACAGAGTTGGCCATTGTACGTGTTCCAACTTGAAAACCCAATTTAAATCTATCCTGAACACTGATGTTATCAGAAAAGTCCTTTGGTAAACAATCCAGGTCCCACAGGCTAAACCTGTACTACAACCAAACAGCATCGTAGTACTCCATTGATCAGATGGACTAATTAATATTTCAAGGTAGCCATCCCAAACTTTGCATTGATTATTAATAACAAGAGAATCATTTTAGAATGAGAGCACGTGTAAATGTTATGCATGGTGAAGATTGAAATCTCCCCTTTTACTAAAATTGGACTCATCTGGCTTAGCGTTTGAGTGTTGACACAAAGGCCAATGCCTACTAGTCTACCTGAATTTGATAGGGGAGGTACCATTGACTCATTCTGGTATTGATCTCTCTATGAAAGAACTATTTTTTTCCCATTTATACTGGTTCTTGGCCAATGAACACGAACAAAAGCTAGGGATTGTCCTATAGAGCTAGTACCGTTAAATAACAGTAATCTAGGTCAGCGACTCAGGAAATATTTTATGTGGGGCAGAAAGCCTCTGTGGGATAGCCATCAAGGTACACATAACATTAGAACCAAGCTTGGAGATTAAATTTACTGTATATACATAAATTCAAAATGGCCAGACCCAGCCTATCAAAGCCTAGTGTGTTGTGCTTGATCGACTACTGTAATTAAATGAAAACATCCAATCTTATGCATTTTAAATATTTTTCCATTGCAATTAAGGAATTCTTTTTTTTCAACTACACATATAATTGGGAAAATGTTTAATTTTTGTTTCCATTTAAATTTGATTAAAATTCTCAAATATTTGCTTGTAGTATTTAAATTCTGTGTTCTCCTTTGCCTTTTTAAATTGGGGTAAAGTGTACCCCCTAACAATATATATTTATATAGGAGAGTAATCAGGGAGTTTCATGGGTTTCTTACTGTTATTGGGGTAATAGGTAACACTGTAAGGTAAAGATATTAGAAAACACATTTTCATTTAAAATTAAAAAACACAAATTTTCACATTCTTTTCTTGTGTTTTCATTACAGCACAGATTATGCTGGAGACCATGGTTTTCAGATTTCATTTTCTCAACCCTCAAAAGAAACTAAATCAACTACCTGGACAGTAAGTATTCCAGAGTAATTGTCACAATGCAAGGCTGTATCAGAGAAATACCTGTGAGAATAAAGGCTTGTTTCACTTAAACAGCCAAAACAGTAAACTGTAATACTGTTCAGTATAATAATTATTTTGAATGATAGGTCCTGGATATCATTTTTTAATGCATATAAACATTCTAAATTCTAAATAGAATAAGTAATTACACTGAAAAGGAATTGTTTATGATATTAAATATATTGGCAATGGCTTCAATGAGCTGTTAACATATTGCATGTAGAATTAATTTTAAAACAAACCAATTTTAATTCTTCCTTTTAAATTGCTATGGTAACTAGAAAAGTCCTACTATTAAATCCTGAATTATTTTGGTTGGCCGTTTCATCTATTTAAAAATGAAGTTCATCTTTTGAAACTTGCTATTTTTCATCATTTCAGTACTCAGAGGTGCTAAAGAAATTGTATGTACGAATGGCTACAACTTGCCCGGTGAGATTCAAATGTACGCGTGCCCCTGCACCCGGCTGTGTTATTCGTGCCATGCCCATTTTCATGAAACCAGAACATGTTCAGGAGACTGTCAAAAGATGTCCAAATCACGCAACTTCAAAAGAACACAACGAAAGTGAGTATATGTTGATCAGTAGGGGCAATTCAACAGAGAAATTCATTAAGCATTATACATAATGGTATATTTTATGGGCTAAATCGGGGGGAAAAGAATTCTTTTTTCCTGGAGAAAAAGCCAGAAAGACCATGCAGAATGTAATTAGCATAGAAACCAGAGACAAATTTTGCCTGTCAAAAGGTTCAACAAACCATCACCAGGTTGGCTAATTAATTGATTATTATGGAATTGATTTGTTTTTTACACTCTTTGCCTGAACACATACCACCTGTTGTGACTATTGATCGACAACACATCAGGGAAAATGAAAGCCATTCATTAACTAATAATGATGTGTGACAGGCCTCATTGACACATTTCTATATTATTGTAAAACATTGCAGCAAACATCATCTGGAATTGAAACTAAATTCCTTGTTAAAAAAAAATTTTTGAAATTTAAAAAAAAAAAAAAAAAAGATTGTAAAATGATTATTGTGTTTTATTTGTTCAGATCATCCCGCACCTACTCATCTTGTCCGCTGTGAACACAAACTTGCCAAGTATACAGAGGATGGGTACACCAGCCGACAGAGTGTCATTATACCCCATGAACATCCACAAGGTAGAGACATAGTGGAGCAAAATATAAATTTTTGATGTTTTGATTTCACATATTTATTAGAAGAGTAAAACTTTCTTTATGAAACAAAATATGAGATGGATCATGTGTAAAATTTCTTAAAGACCATTTCACTGATATTAAATGTGTTTCTTTCAACAGCTGGGTCAGAATGGGTCACAAACCTTTTCCAGTTCATGTGTCTTGGATCCTGTGTCGGGGGCCCCAACAGGAGACCAATCCAGATTGTCTTCACATTAGAAAGAGAGTAAGTTATCCATAACAATGTGAATTTTTAACAAATTTGTTTAAGGCCTCATCTGTGTGCTTTAGATAATAATGAATTTTTAAGGAAATGATACATGGATGTCCAGTAAAAAAAGAGAGATCCAAATTTCAAGTGTTCTTTATTTGTTTTAGTAACCAGGTGCTAGGCCGTAGAGCCGTGGAAGTGAGGATTTGTGCATGTCCTGGCCGTGACAGAAAAGCAGACGAAAAGGCAGCACTGCCTCCAACTAAACAGTCTCCCAAGAAAATAACAAACAGTGAGTGGAGATTTGTATTTCCTGCTAAAACCAGAATGCTTTATAATTAAAGTACTAAAAGTGTTATAAACAGCTTTAATAAATAAGAAAAGAAATCATATTTCAATTTTCTTCTATAAAAAGTACCTCACAATTTTTTAAGCAAAGTGTTCCCTTTTATTTTAAGATTTTGGTAAGGTGACTGTCGGAACAGAAATCACATCTATCGCTCCAGGAGGGAAAAAGAGGAAATTAGATGGAGAAGAAGCATTTACTCTCACGGTAAGATATTCAAGCACACAGATTTTAGTAGATATAATCCTGACTAGTTCTCTGTATATTGAATAAAACTATTATTTAAAATTCTTTTTCTGCTGCCTAGTTTGAATATCTGGTTTTTAAAATTGAAAAAGAAAGGATTTGCTTATACAGAAAATTAAACTAGTCGAGATTTTATTATTAAAATTGGTCAATTTTGATTTTTTCAGGTGCGAGGTCGGGAGAACTACGAAATCCTTTGTAAGCTCAGGGACTCTTTAGAACTATCTTCTATGGTACCACAGAACCAAGTGGAGTCTTACAAACAGAAACAAGTGGAGATAAACCGACAGTAAGTACTCATCACAGTGTATATCATAGTACTCTGTAATGATGTAGTGGTGAAGTAGTTTGTTCTTGTGTATGTCTGTAGTCTTTCATGTTGTCAAGCCATATTGCCATTTCCAAATCCTTATTTGATGATTTTAAAACAACCAAAATAAATGAAATCTATAAAGAAAAGGAAAAAAATATTGTATTTTGATGATAATTTTCTTTGGGGGGAATTGTTTTGGATTGCTAAAATATTTAGACTAACTTCAGTTTCGACTTTGATTTGTGAATTAGTTTTCAAATTTAAATACTGGGTTGAAAACTTTATTTAAAATTGAAGGGAAAATTTAATGGAATTTGTTAAAGAGTGACAGAATAATGATTTGAAAAAAATGGCAGTAAGGCAAATTTTATTATCACACATCCAAAAAACCTGCTGGAAAAGTTGAGGTGGGTGGCAGGTGCAAATTGAGGACTGGAGCCACTTCTGCTGGAAATTGGACAGTCAATAGAGGGGAGATAACTAGCAACAGACAACTCTACACACTGCACTTTACAGAATCTATAGGGAAAAATAGGGAAAATACATCACTGACTTCAATGATACACCGATAATGAAGAAATTCCTATATTTATTTTTGTGAGGGAGAGAGATATGATGCACTTTGGTTAATTCTGTTTACAAGATTCAGTAATGGCTGAAAGATGAAGGAGTGTATATGAGTGACAAAGAGAGAGTATATACGCTTGTGATCTGATCACATTGTCAGCTTGCTAGGTGAATACAATGTACAACCATGATTTGACCTTGCGTATGTCTGGTGGGATCATGGTACACATGCATTTCAGGTCTTTTAAAGTTGTGGATTACCTTTTTACAGGCCTTCTTTTCAAGTCTCAGAATTTGAGTCCAATCATAGTGACTTTTTCGCGAAGCTGGAACCCACAGAAGTGTCCTTTCCCTCAGTTTTCACCGGCAGCCACCTGAGCTACAAACAGCAGTTCAATTTCTCAAGAAATGAATACATAGTCCCTGAAGTGTAGTAGACACATCCATTTTGTGTGACATTTATTGAAACTCCAAAAAAAAAAGAAAATAAAAACGACAGATCAAAAACTGAACAGAGCTAAACGGCTAAACATGTGCCTGCTCATTTCAGGTGGCTGTCGATGATTCTGGCTCGGGAAAGTAAAAGCAAGATGATGAAAAAGTCCAAACGCCCACTTGCAAAACCAGGCAAAGTGATTAAACCTAAGACATAGATCATTAGACAGTGAAAAGCGAGTATTATCGCGGGGAATCTATGTTCTGCCGGAGCTACTGACGAGACCATTCGAGGAGCCATACTTCATCTGCTGTTCAGGTGTCCCTGATCTGCATTGTTCAACACCTCACCATTCTTTGCTTGGATGTGCCATATTAGATAGGAGTGTTTGCAGAATTGCGTCCTTGGACAGTCCAGCTGTTCTCCAAAGTGCATTAAAAAGATCAGGAACCTTACATTTGTTTTGTATGGAGATGACACCCAGTTATTGGATGAAGCACAGACACCACCGCATCCATAAATCTGTAAATGAGGAAGATATGCCACCACTGGCCCTCTTAGCATTAAGAAGGACTCCGAACAAGGGGCATTAACACGCCAATAATTACCAATGTGTTCATAAACATTAAATATTCAACGATATTCATTTCAAGACATTTTTCAATCAAGTTCTACCATAATTTTTTGTTTTCACATTCATTCATCCTAACTATCATTACCATTTGCCTGCAAGTAGGATCAACTTTTAAAGTGTCTTGGTGCTGAAGCACAGTGTTCCTTTTTCAATTTTGGATTTCATTGATGTTGTTTTGAAATTGATGTTAATTGATCTGATTCTTTCCTTTTTTAATCTTGCATAGTTATGTTATGTGACATAAAAAATTGCCCTTTAAAACGAAAAAAAATACTTATCTGAAATGATATTGGTTTAAATTTGAAAGTCTATTTTTAGGATTTTAAATTTTAATCTATCCGTCCTTTTGATTTAATGTACCATGACGCTGGTAGTTATTTTTAGATTTAAATTATTTGTTGAAAATCTCACGCTGGAAATGTTTTAAGGAAGAGAAAGAATCTCTTTATTATATAGAAGATGTTGTATCATAGTTTTTATATGGTGTACTTTTTTTATGTATATTTTGCTTCAAAAATATAAAAGTGCTTCTAATTTAAATCTGGATAGGATATGAAATTAATCTAGAATTTCATTTTCAAAGTCGTGCTGATTATTTAAAGATTTGTACATAGTTATTGATATTTAATTTTATTTATATTGTACATAGAACACATTTGTTTCTGTAACTAAATTGCGTGAAGTATATTGTATAGCAGCATCGCTATGCAGATTCCTATATTTTAATTATTTAAATTTCTGTACATTCTTGAATAATAAAAAAAAAAATGCATTCTCAAATAAAACAGTAGTGTATGATACATTTTGTTGGTGTTCTTATTCAAGTATACAGAACAAGTTTTATTATGCGACTTGCTAATTCAGTTAATTGTGTTGGATCCTGGGATCTTTCCATTGTCATGGTTGAATTACTCTATGATGATGTGTATTGTTTTTTGCAGTCATTGTTAAATCTGCTCTGCTATCTGTTAAACTTCAAATTTTGACAAACTGGTATTCTCAAAGATGATGGATTTATAGTCTGGTCATGTTTAGATTCTTGTTAGATCTCTCGATTCTTAAAACTTCTTTACTTCCCTCTTTATATTCCTTACTTGCACAGAGTTATACTGAAGGTTTTAATTCAAGAAAGGAAAAAAACACCAGCACCAACTGGTTAAAGTTCAGATTCAGCAAACAAGAGTAACATTCAACACTCTGAAAAAAAAAATTAAAAAATTAAACAAAAGTTTTTTTTTATAAATTACATCTCGGATATTTCACTTTCTACTGTTAAGATTTCAAAATATTTAGGTTGGTTTTTTTTTTTACTATTTCATGTATGATTGATACACAAGTGTTCTTACTTCCAACATCTAAGTAAATACAGGTATAAAAAAAATCCTAGATGTAAAAACCAACAAACATAAAATCGGTACATGTGTTTCTTCACTTTGAAAGTTTTAAAAATTGAATAAATTAAGAAAAAATCAAATATCAGTGACATCCTGTCTTGTAGGCATTGTGGAGGCATCATAATTATAAGAAACAAACATTTTCAGAAAATCAAAAATAGAATATGAAGTTTGCATTGAGTTATTGGTCTATAGGTAGTATACTTTAATTTAAGCGTTCTTTCAAAAGTTCAGATGTAAAATGTAAAATCCAAAAATTTAAACCTATTTCTTTAGGAGTTAAATGATATCTTTCTTGTGGATTTTAAAGAAAAGGGATTTAACATTATACACATGTACAAATTAGATTGCAGATTATCTGAAGATAATAACCCTTTTTTGGGGGGCAATTTAAATTGAACATGTCCATTCTTGATAAATTTAGATAACACGTTTTTTCCCTAATTTTATAATTCTGAAATTTTAAATTGCTTTTCGTCATTCTTCACCTTTAAATGAAATCAGCATGTTCAAACATGATTTTGAAAATGAAACCCAATATTCATCAAAGAACTTTTCCAAGTATTATTTCTTTTTGAGTTGTTAGTAAACTAGGGCATAGTGAATCAATACCTGGATTTGGAAATAGAACCAGGATGTTTAAAGATTGCTATGTTGTGAAATAATATATTTGGGCACTGATTTTGATAGTAATGATTAGAATTTCACAAATAGAAAAGTCTGCCATAGGTTTAAAATTGTGTACGGTTTAATGAACAGTGCTGCAATTACGAGCAGTAAAATAATACATTGATTCCTCTAAATTTAAAATGTTCAAACGATAAATATGATTTTTTAAATTCTTTTCAAGAAATAAACAGCAATCAAGATAACTACTGATAAAAATGAGTCATTCAAACTTTAACATCATAATAATGATAAAAATTGATGGAGCAAGTGAAAAAATCAAAGTTCTTTTTCTTTTTTCATAAGATGCATATTGAACTTTTCAAAGTGCTTTTTTTTAAAATCATCTTATATGAAGAAATACTTAAGGGATGATGTCTTGTTTCTTTGATATGAAATTAAATCTAATATGAAATTGTAAAAAGGCTGTAAGAAAGTATACAAATGACATAAATAAATCAATCAATGCAGGCAGATATGACAACCAATGTAGAGGGATTTAAGAGGATTTAAAATCAAAACCATGAAAGGTAAATGTAGACCTTGTTTCAAAAGTGTTAAAAACTGCACACAAAAAAAAGAAATTTATATTTTTAGTTGACTGTACATATCTTTTTTAAAATCTTTAATTCAACTAAGACAAAAAAAAGAAGGCAAAGAGAAAAGTACCACTCCATACATTTTGCCTGTGAGCACACGTTCTGTGTTAGAACAAGATGGTTTAATTGGATAATAACTTTGTCCAATAAAATTGTTGAAATCAGTAACTACAGGAATTATAATTAGAAAACAAGGCCTGTTGTCCATATTTGAAGTTAAATCAAAGTGAATTGAAGAATTGTGATTCAACCTGTCTTTAAAGTACATAGATTCAGCAGTATTCGTACAATGCTACTTCCAATATTTTCATTCCTTTTGATTAATGTTTCTATCCAGCTGTGATCTGGTTGTGTCTTTATCACCATTGCTCTTGACAGCATGTGATGGGCCTCCTGTGTGTTGTTCATTAAGGTAGCCACCGGCTACTCAAGGACAACCTACTCAAAATGAGCCTAAACCCAGAAAACAAACTATGATCCGACTTCAACAATAGTACTGTAAAATCATTATGTTTGCAGGATTTTTTTTCGTTGTTGATATCATTGTCACTCTAAATCTACGAAGTTATAATTTCAATATCAATATAGGACTTGTTTTACTCCAAATGATTAAAGAATCCTAGGTTAATTAAAATTAAAACTTTAGTTTGAAATGACCTTTTAGAAAATAATGAAAGCATCAGATTGCTTTCTATTACTGGTAAGCTTGACTTACAATCTTGTGTCCGATTCTTCCATTTGTGTCTAGGATCTTCGGACATTTTTATATGGTGTTATTGCTGAACTGGTATGATTGAACTGTTGATAGTTACTATATTAATCCTTTTACAATATATAATCTTCAATTTTTCCAGACCATCAGCCCCACGCCTGGTGTCCATTCCGAGCCGAGAGGGTACACCTGTAACAGCTCAGGCAACTTTACCTTTTGGTTCTGAACCAACGGTGCAAGTGACCAGCTCCCAGAATGGTCAACCTGCAGTCACAGTCCAGCAGGTTCTATCTGCTCCGGTCAACAATCTCAGTCCCTCCGCCATCAAAGAAGAGCTAAGTTCTACACTGAACGGCTGTGCCAGTGACAACTCCATTAAGAGGTGTGTGCTTATGGAATTATTTCTCCTACATTCATAGTTTTACTGGAGAAAAGTTGAATCTGTCTTTTTTCCATCGGGGAAAGAGAGCTCACATACAAGTGTATATCATTATACTGAGGTCACATCTCTCAGAAGTACAGCTTATTTTTTGCAGTGTAACTGTCACAATAGGGCGATGTTCGAATTTTGTCATTATTTCATGCACACTACTGTGATTTTGTATATAGTGTTGTGCATTACATTCAAATTACATTATTTTTGTTATGGAAAAATGCAGGAATAAGAGATTTCTTAAAATTCCATTCACAGCTGGTTAGCAAGCCTTGGTCTGTCCGCGTACATTGACAACTTTCATCAAATGAACCTCACGACTATGCAACAGCTGGAAGACTTCACTATCGAGGTAAGCCTTACATAGTCAACTTTTTAAGTAGATTCAAACATCTAAAGTTTGATGCTCGGGTTGGTTATTTTATAGTCGACAGCAAATGAAAACTCAAAAATCTTGATGGATTTGAGATCAGTTCCTAAAGTACCTGGATGGTTCCCTCTGTAGACATATTGGATATGATCTAAAATTTCAATTTTTTTATTTTTCACAAACCAAGAGTTTTAAAATATACTTAATTTTACATGTTACTGTTTCAGGATCTACAGAAGATGAAGATTGGCACAAGCCACAGAAACAAGATCTGGAAAGCCTTGGTGGAGCAACGCAACCAGTCAGTGATTCTGTCAGAGTCCGCCAGTCTTCAACACGAGATCTCCACTGCCTCGACAATGAGTCTGTCATCCCAAAACAGCATCACACCCACCTCCAACTACTGCCCGGGCTACTACGAGGTCACCCGGTATACATTCAAACACACCATTTCATATACGTCCAAGGATGGCACCAGCAGTAGTCCACAGACAAAACGACAGAAACTGGAAGCGGAATGTGTGGTGTAGAGGTATCTAATTTAGGGAGACATGTAAGTGAGAGAGGGAGAGAGTAATGTTCTAGTGCTGTTTTGTGCACAAAAGTGTTCTTACATATAAAAACTTGACTCAAAAAACAGTTCAATCTTCAAGATGATATACCTAGCAAGTGTAGCAAAAGGTTGATGTGCTGAGAGAAGATGGTTTAGCAAGGAAGCCAATCAACAATGTTTTTTTTTATAACTATTTAATGTCTTAAAATTCATTGAAATGACCTTAAGGTAAATATTAGCATATCAAGAGAGGTTGAAAGTTTATTTGCTGTATAAGATTGTCATTTTCCTTGATGTTATCTTGCACCAGTAAAATTTCAGGCTGGTAGAAGCATGATATGTGTAAAATGTATGTATATCATTACCTCAGGAATCTGATCAGTCGGTTCAGTCTGAAAGTGAAATTTGCAGACTGCATTTGTAGAAGGTGAATGAAGCTTGGTGTTTTCAATGTTTGTGTTTACCTTAAAGTCTTTTCAACATTGTTTGTGTGAGAAGCACTTGGGGATAATTGATTGTGTAAAAATTTTGTTATGATTGAAGTGTAAAAATATTGTTATGACTGAAGTGTTCAGGGGAAATAACTGTGTTCAAGCCACAATAAATTCTCATTTCATACATATTTATAGAAAACTTCAAAGTTTGTAGACGAATGCCATGACACCTCGCTTCTTTTAAAATCTCTTTCTCCTAATTTTCCCCAGTATTCAAGGGGAAATAACTCTGACTTTACATCATTGAAAATGGAAAAAATAATTTTCAAAGGTATTGTTTTTTAAAATTGCTCTTGAGGTGCATGTGCTGTTCATTTTGAAGTGTCATACAGCATCAAAGAAATCTGTGTTCAGTAGAAGAAAAACATTCCGTTTTATTTTTATACCTATACTTGTTTTCCATATTAATGTTATGTTGTTTTGGTGGAACATTTTACCGCTATTAGGGTGAAATATTTGTTGGTAAATAGTTCCTATCCTAGATCAATCTTGATGTGTACAGTGCTTGTAGACAGGGTTCTATCCTCTGGACCTATGTGCTAAATCTTTGTTTTCGTTGTACATACGTTGAAACTTACTGTAAGTAGTTGGAGAGAACATCATTGATTCTGTTGTGTGTGTGGATTTCTATGTCTTACACAGGTATTTGTTTATCTTGTTTATTTAAAGAAGTGGTAGATTTAACCACGTTGAGCCATTTGTTTGATGAATTCTTGTTGATAGATTGTAGCACTAAAACCAATATCAGGAATATTAGTCCATTTCAGTGGCATTTTCTGTCTTGATTAAAAAGGAAAAGTGCGAATTTTTGATTGGGAAAAATGAGGAGGTGAGGAAAGTATTAATCCTACTGCAGATGAAAGAAATACAAGATGTATTGGTTATGGAGAAAATGTACATTGTTTGACAAATGGCTCCCACTGAAAATATATATATAAATGTCTTGAAGTGTTCATTTTAATTTATGTATCCATATTTATGTAAGTTGCAATGTACTATAAAATAGATTGAAGTGTTTTCAGATTTTATTGTTGGTTTCTGTGAAGTGCATGTTTTTATACCGAGCATATAGTTGTGATTCTATAAGGCTTATTGTTACGGCTGTTGTAGATGATTATCAACTATATTTGGGCACAAATCTTGTTAAAGATTTTATTGACTGTTGTCTCTCCGTCCACCTTTAACTCTTCCAACTCGTAAAACCTTATTATCCAGGATTCGTATTCATAATGAGTGGGTCCATCTATGGTTTTAAAGGGTCAATTAGGGTTTTTTTTGTTTTTTTTTGTTTAATATCATCTGTCAGAGAGGAAACATCATGTTATATTTAATACATTTATGTACAATTTTATATCATAATTAACCTGTGGTATGTTTTGTTCATTTTTTTAACTCATTATAAATTGTATATGACTTGCAATAATAATCCTTTTGGCTTTTCTTTTTGTAAGAAGAAGTTTTTTACAATTAGTATGCTGGTTTTACATCGAAATCTAACCTTCTTGATCCTAACCAAGTATTCTGAGTATATGAAGACTTTACAACAGTAGAGTACATATAAGATTGTCAGTTTGTTTTCTTTTATTTTGAAAAAGACATATATAATACTGCTTAAACTTTAAAATTTGGTTTTGACTACATCAGTTATTCCAGATATCTGATTTTTCAGTAAGAAACCAAATTTTTGGCATTGTCACCGTCAAAATTATCTGTGTGTACTGAAGAAATGCAAAGTTTGTTATAATTTTCTGTCTCAAGTTCTGTAAACAAAATTTCATGTATGGCAGAAATCAAGTATTAATGTTTCATAACTGTCATAATATTTGTGTTTGGTGCAACAAACCTATTATATAACTCATATTGGATCACCCATTCTCATCAAATATGTTCAACACTGCCAAACAGCAACTGTATGTCTGTCAAAACATCAGGAGACTTATTCTCAGAAAGTACTTTTGTTTTTAAAATTATTAGGTTTGAAACCATTTGATTTCAGTTTTCTAGATATTTTTTTTTTGTATGAAAATTAGAAAGTTTATGATTAAATGAAAATATTGATTAAACAAATGATGTTATACAATGGTACAAATATCATACCTTTTATGATAGGTTTTGGTTCCAATTTCTTTGTTGCCTTGAACAGTACTTGTTGAATTGTGGTATAAAATTCTGTTTAGATATCAACACAAAGTAAAAGTCCTTGGTATGATTAAATACATGTAATGACACAGAAACATGATTTTAGTGTAGTTTTAGTTCATATACTTCTGTATTTGAAAACAAATGTGGTTCGATGCAATTTTTATATCAAAAGCTTTTTTTAGAAGAATTTGTCTTCGCAGACACTTATGATACGAACAAAGATTTTGAAAATTGATTTGTTTTGTTTGGAAATAGAATTGTTTAATACATTAAATAAGAACAATTGAAATAAATGCAATTTAAATATATTCATAGACGTTGTGTTTTTTATTGCCATTTCACAAAATTAAGATGACCTTTCAGGGTGGAAATCTGAAGAGACCTTTAAGGAATGAACTCATGGCTGGTCTTTTATGGTTCATCTACATGACTTTAAGTCAGAGAATGACCTATTAAGGTCATATCTGTCAGGGACTGCCCTCTCAAGGTCATTAATATTGACCTGACAGACTGGCCTTTCTCAGATTCTGGCTCTTGGGGACTGACCTCAGAAGGTCATAGATGTGTAGCCCTTGAGATGAAGGGGTATTCGTTCATGGTCCATCCATTGACCACGCAAAAATAGTTTTATTTCTTTAGAATTACTGTATTGGTTAAAATTGCAGATGTAGGGTTTTTACTTGGTCCCTATTTGTGCATTGTACTTTAATGACAGATATGGGCTGACAGGTGACCATCTTAGATTTAACTTTTACAGTTTTTTTGGTCACCTGAAACAATGTCTCAGGGTGACCTATTGTGATCTGTGTCTGCCACCTGTATCATAAGCTTTATAACATTTTCAGCTTATGGAAATCTCCTGAGCCGACATCAATAAAAGTTTACAAAAACCTGCCATGGCAAATGGCACAACAAAATAATAAATCTTACTGTCCCCAACCCCAGGGACCTGAGGGATGGGGCCAAACAGATTAGAATTTACTTTTTATCAGTATAAGTTGACTGTTTGATGAGATGCACATATTGACCTTGATTGACCCCCAGGGGCTGATGGGCAGGGCCAAAAGGGGATCAAATTGACTGAAATTTCAAAGATGTCCTACTGCTCCTGGATGGAGAATTTTATAAAGGAAAATTCAGATCTTGAGTATAATTTCATTTCATTCAAACTTGGTTAGAAGCCTTAGCATGTGACAGTAGTTAATGTTTACACAATTTACAGTTGTATTATGTGTTGAATATTTCTATAACATGTTACAAGAAATATTGGACTAAAGTGCCCTTAAGGCCCTTGGGCTTCTTGTTTCTTGAGAATTTCTGGGTGGACCATTCTGAAACTCTGAAATGTTCTCCTTGGCACCAGATGTATTTAATGAATTTTTAAATTATCCGGAATAAAGGAAAAGATCCGGAATAGAAATCACACGATGATGGGTGACACGACCCCTCTGATCCCTCACGAATTGCTAGTGTTCCTTCAATTTCCAAATATATTTCCTGATTATCCGAGTGATACCCCTTTTTTCCGAACCATTTCACCGATGACCATTGCATGTGTAGAATTTGAGAGTTTTGTGCGAATATTCTCTTCAGTCGAGAGTGTAAGACTAGAGACCCAGTGGTCGCTATTTCGAACTTTGTTTGAGCAGGGCGTTTTTCATTACTGCTTCCTATTTCACATGTTTTAAGACAGTGACAAACGTATACCTTAGTTGTGCACGAGACCTGTGGTTCCTTACATAGAGGCCAGTGAATACCTTTACAGATTCCTGAGGTGCGTGGTTCGATGCCAACCAGAGGCGACTTTGTCAGAAAGCCGAGATCACATATCAGTCTGTGACGTCATAGATGTGTCAATGTTCAAACTTTTCTTACCCAACTTTGGTAACACGCAACGAGTCTCCTGTGCGAAAATGACGCTGTTTGTCTGGCGATAAACCCATTGGGGTAAAAATTTGAAGTCACATAAATAGGCCGGTATATTTAAATCTCCAACCTTCCGATTCATCATCTATTCTCTGTGTTCGTTTACGGACAATTTGCTCCCGTCTCCATCGGTCTACTTCAAACGTCGACCAAGCTGATGATTTCTACGTTTGTGTATAAAAAAATCTACGCATATTTTTATGTCGGACGAATGTTAGGCATCCAAATTTCGACCTGATTAGAACTTTCGATATTCACTTCTTGAATTTCGTTTTTTTGTGTTTGTGTCATATGACGTCAGGGGCGTAGCTTCCATAGAAAGAAAAAACCCGGGCTTACACATAAAAAATCCGTGCATAGAGTATGTTGGACAAAATTACAAAACTAAGGTTGCAAAATAGATGTCAGGGGTTGAAATTTGTTGTTAAATAAATAAAAAAAAACTGTCTCGGAAAACGATTCAAAACATCTTTGAAATCATGAAATTCAGACCCCTCGCCTGGGCTTACACATTTCTGCTAGGCTTGCTACGCCCCTGGACGTCATGGTGCTTTTCATGCACGATAGCCCAGAATCAATATTTCATTTTTCTAAATCCTGCAATGTAACCTCTCTACTTTGGGCTCCTTGGAGTTCTGAGTAAAGTGCATTTTCTATACAAAAGCGCTAGTGGTATCGTGTATTTGGTAAACAGTATTTTATTATACGACAGGAAACCATAGGATACGATATATGACTACTGTATTTCCCTGCCATCGGCACGGAAATCCGTCCTGAATTACTGCTGATATCATTATAAAGATCAGTGTTCAAGATGGCGGCGGGATCTACTCCGAAGCGACAACCGTCAAAATATGCAGGTATCATAGATGTAACAAACATATATTACATTACAGCTATTAGATTTTGTACATAAATATAACTGTTGAAAGCTTTTTCTCTGAATAATAAAAACTGTTGACGGCAATGTCACTCAGGTTCCACCAACAACTTTAATTTCCTTGTCTGTCATAATATTATATAATAATAAAAACTAACAAAAAAAATGATGATGATGATGATGATGATGGTGGTGGTGGTGGTGGTGGTGGTGGTGGTGGTGACGATTTAAAGAATTTACGTTTGTCAACTGTTATTCAGTGAATATACTTATGCCATATTTTTGCGTTTTACACGTGGGTAATATTGCTTATTGTGACGTCACTCTAGATGACATCGCACATTCATAAATGACATTGTGACGTAACTGTGGAAACCATGAATATAGAGCGCACATGACTTCAAGTTTTACATTGTTTGCCATATTTATTTGAGGCTGTTACGATGAAAAATTCTTAGACATGTTTCGTATGGTTATATGCCAAATAGATGAAGTAAGATCTTCAACTGAGGGCGGGTCTTGTAGGAAATCTCTCTGAACAACATGTGTGATTCTTGCTCGGGGAAAAATCTCACTGAACCAAGTGTGGATCTTGTTCTGGGTTGTGGAAGGGAAACCTCACAGAACTCTGATCAAAGTGTGGATCCTGTCAGGGGGGAGAGGGGCCTCACTGAACCAAGTGTGGATCTTGTTCGCGGGGTGTGGAAGGGAAACCTCACTGAACTCTGATCAAAGTGTGGATCCTGTCAGGGGGGAGGGGGACCTCACTGAACCAAGTGTGGATCTTGTTCGGGGGGCGTGGAAGGGAAACCTCACTGAACTCTGATCAAAGTGTGGATCCTGTCAGGGGGGAGGGGGACCTCACTGAACCAAGTGTGGAAGGGAAACCTCACTGAACTCTGATCAAAGTGTGGATCCTGTCAGGGGGGAGGGGACCTCACTGAACCAAGTGTGGAAGGGAAACCTCACTGAACTCTGATCAAAGTGTGGATCCTGTCAGGGGGGAGGGGGACCTCACTGAACCAAGTGTGGAAGGGAAACTTCACTGAACTCTGATCAAAGTGTGGATCCTGTCAGGGGGGAAAGGGGACCTCACTGAACCAAGTGTGGAAGGGAAACCTCACTGAACTCTGATCAAAGTGTGGATCCTGTCAGGGGGGAGGGGGACCTCACTGAACCAAGTGTGGAAGGGAAACCTCACTGAACTCTGATCAAAGTGTGGATCCTGTCAGGGGGAGAGGGACATCACTGAACCAAGTGTGGACTTATTTATTTAAGTGTAAATTCAACATTCAAAAATTAAGCGGCGTTGAAATGTTAGCTTTGCTAAGGAAAGCAAACCATTCCCAGATACAGTATATATTAGTACAATCTATAATTGTCATGTCGCATTGTCCAGGTCAGCAGTACATCTGGTCTGACATCAAAGATACGGACGTATTAGTCCATATATAACTCATACAATTCAATTAGAATCCGTGAATAGAGCTACAAGGTATTAGGGCGACAGCAAACATGCGATGATGAATGACGACCGCCAGGGGGCGTAATTTCACGTCAAAATGATGTCACGTAGACTGTACACCACACGTGTACAGTTAGACAATAGTGCTGTCCGTTTTGATTACATTTATACAACATGCCTATTGTGTCTAACGTCAGGGACATCTCTAGCATCATATCCAGTGAAATTAATTACTTTTTTATTATGAATATTTAACATACGTTAAATGTGCAAGAAGATTATTCAGTATTATTAAAAAAAAAATAATTCTAAAAGCATGGACATGTTCAAAGGACAGGTGAAGACAATTTAGATATATGTTTTGATCACACACATACTCGCATCTGTTATGCGTCACGCACGTGTAATACGTACTTGGCTGTCTTTCACTTGTGTAACATGTACCTTTCTATTGTTCACACGTGTGACATGTACCTTTCTATTGTTCACACGTGTGACACGTGTCTGACTGTTGTTCACACGTGTAACATGTACCTTTCTATTGTTCACACGTGTGACACGTGTCTGGCTATTGTTCACTTGTGTAACATGTACCTTTCTATTGTTCACACGTGTGACACGTGTCTGACTATCATGTAAACGTGAAACACGCACCTGACTGTGTTCCACGTGTGTTATACATTCGTATTGTTCACACGTGTGACACGTACCTTCCTATTGTTCACACGTGTGACACGTATCTGGCTATTTCTCACGTGTGACATGTACTTTGCTGTCGTTCACACGTGTGACACGTACCTTGCTATTGTTCACACGTGTGACACGTACTTTGCTATTGTTCACACGTGTGACACGTGCCCTCCTATTGTTCACACGTGTGGCACGTGTCTTGCTTATATGTGTACGTGAAATACACACATGTATGTGTTTCACATGTACAATACATTGGCATTGGTCACAAGTGTGACACGTACCTGGCTATAGTTTACACATATACCACACAGCTGACAATGGTGAAACGTGTTATCCTATTTGTT